CACCGAGTGTGTACTACCACCGAGTGTGTACTACTACCGAGTGTGTACTACCACCGAGTGTGTACTACCACCGAGTGTGTACTACCACCGAGTGTGTACTACCACCGAGTGTGTACTACCACCGAGTGTGTACTACTACCGAGTGTGTACTACCACCGAGTGTGTACTACCACCGAGTGTGTACTACTACTGAGTATCTACTACCACCGAGTGTGTACGAGGCCCGCCAGACGCGAGCAGCAGGAGACTCACAGCGACTCGGAGGTGAACTCGGGGGCGAGCTGCACGCCCAGCTCCAGAGCGACGCTCATGGCTGAGCAGGGGTCGGTCTACTCCACCTCGCACAGTCCACCTCGCACACCCACCACCACGCACACTCCACCACCTCGCACACTCCACCACGCGGACTCCACCACCTCGCACACTCCACCTCACACACTCCACCACCACGCAGACTCCACCGCCTCACACACTCCACCTCACACACTCCACCACCTCGCACACTCCACCTCACACACTCCACCACCACGCGGCGTCTCTCGAGTGACCACGGAGCGAGCCGAGTTGGTGGCGGCCGCGAGCGTGACCAGCAGCCTCGGGCTGAGCGCAGCTGCTGGGGGGCAGTGGAGAGCGGTGGGGCGCTCGCCTCGCTCGGCAACCCGGCGAGAAGAGTACCCTCCCCACCCCCCTCGATCCAAAACTCCGACCCCGCCCGCCACCAGCACCACCACCACCAGCCACCACCACCAACAACCACCCACACAACTCCTGCCGCTCCCCCTCCCCAAACTCTCAACAGACAGATTGTAACTCGGCTACACGAAGCGAGGATGTGGAAGTTGTATGAGGAGGAGGAGGGGGGGAGGTTGGTGGTTTGAAACAAACGGAATGGAGTGAGGAGGCTGCAAGACGACGCGACTCACCCTCCCGTCATCCCTGCCAGTGGCACGCCCCGCGCCCCGCGAGGCCCGCCGCTGGGGGGCGCCACCCGCACCACCCGGCGCGAGACGGAGGCGCCCTGACGTCACTTCCGCGGTGGATCAGCGGTGGGCGTGGCCATGTGCCGGGTGACGCCTCCCCAGCACGCCCCACACGAACACACGCCAACGTTGGGCCAACGTTGCTGACATCGGTTCCAACCACTGGCCAACGTTGGGTCAACGTTGGCTACATCGGCTCCAACCACATGCCAACGTTGGGACAACGTTGGTGACATCGGTTCCGACCACACGCCAACGTTGGGCCAACGTTGGTGACATCGGTTTCGACCACACGCCAACGTTGGGCCAACGTTGGTGACATCGGTTTCGACCACACGCCAACGTTGGGCCAACGTTGGTGACATCGGTTTCGACCACACGCCAACGTTGGGCCAACGTTGGTGACATCGGTTCCAACCACACGGCAACGTTGGGACAACGTTGGTGACATCGGTTCCAACCACACGCCAACGTTGGGCCAACGTCATGTTTATGGAGGATTTTTTTTATTGATTATTACTGATTGTTTAGCAATAGGAAAGGCTCACCGAGTAGGGCTGAACGATTTGGAGAAAATATCTAATTGCGATTTTCTGACAGATTTGATTTGCGATTAAATTGTTTAAAGTCAAGCTTCAGTTCAATATTCACTGTGTAATAGATTTAAACATGCGATTGAGCATTAGCACATGATACCATCACAATATGAACCGCTCTATATATTCTAATGCAAGGATGAGAACTTAAAATATATGAATTGCTTCCAACATGTATTTATTTAAATGTTTTAATTAAAATAGGACAATCGAACAATTGTTAAGTAAAACAATGAAGTTTTATAATAAAACAATTCCAATAAGAAAGTAACTGGACTTTTAAAATCACAAAAAATCGCAGCCTTTGCGATTTGCTTCTCGCAGTGTCAATTATCGATTTGAAATCGATTAATCGGTCATCCCTATCACCGAGTCTCGTGACTCCCTTTTCAGGAGGGTCCTGCCAGGTTTTCGCAGCAGGGGACGCGATAATTGCTGATGAGTGGCGCGCCGCGCTCCGAACCTGGCGATCCGGGTTCGAGTCCAGCGCACGGCCAACAACACCGGTGACGATTATCTGAACCGATCCTGGGCTTCCCCTAGGTCGACTCAGCCTCAAATGAGTACCTGGTGCGGTGGTGTCTAGTAAACATCGCCACTTGGTGCGTTCCACCCACCCCCTCGTGTGCCGGTACCGTCCTTCATAGGTGCTCGCTAACAGCACTTGCCCCAACAATCTGTTAAGCCTATACGGGGCGATCTTTGCCTTTTTTTGCATTGGAGGTTGGTGGTGGTGTTCGTGGTGGCACGAAGCATGAACGAAGTAAAATATAAATACACAAATCAGACTATTTCGATTCCTTCCCATATCCGGTACATCCACATACAAAATGCAAAAGTTGTATTTTTACATATCCCACCAGCAGCACAGACTAATGTCTCGGAGTGCATCACTTTCAGCAGCATTATTTACTACAACACAATTGCAGGACCAGTTTCGACATTTGGGTTATCTCAGAACCACAATGCTTGAACTGCCAAGATGTCTCTTCGGCAAGGCCTCCATCAGTGTTAGATCGGGGTCCAAAAAGCTTCAGGTCCTTCAAATACGGTAGATCGAGGACTTCCTGTACTTCTGAAGAGGTAAATCAAATATCAGCTGGAATTCGGATTATTTTGTCAAAATAATAACTATTAAAATGAGTTTTAATTGTAATGGTATCCTAATTATTTGACACAATTGTGGCATAATTGAGTTATGTAGCATGGCCTGTTTACGATGTTTGTAGCTACGTGAGCTCAACAACCCTCGCAGCAGCACCACCACTGCTCGTGTAATCGATTTGTGTTTACAAGCAGTCATCTCAGATTCACTCTTTATTTCATTACTGCTCGTCTCGACATTGAGCCACCGTAATTATCATTATCCGATCAGCTCATCAGTCACAGCCTCCATCAATAACCACGTGGAAAGCCCATTTATGAGGGTAATCAAACTCATATTTTGCCAAGTTCAGAGCAGAGTGCTAGAACCGCACCATTTTTATAGCGGCAGGTGATATCTATCTATATTTTTGATTATTTTTATTATTATTATTTGATCTTTCTAAGTGGCTTTACCGAAAGACCCAAAGAATAGGTGATATCTGGTGGCGCCGCGGTGGCGAGATGCAGTCTACTTCGCCTGGCACACAGGAGGCCGTGGGTTCGATCCCGGACCCTGACGATGCATGTTGTACATTTGGAGAGGGCATGTTCTCTCTCTCTCTCTCTCCCCGAGGAGGTCGTGTGGATTTTTTCTCCGGATTCCTCCGGCTTTGCCCTCCTCCACAATTAAAAACATTTGGCTGATACTATAAATTCCCACATGATAAGCCACGATGAGCTGCCATGTGTGGCCAGATTGCCTCTGAATAATAGCTCAGGGGGGCTTTAGCTGGTAAATACAACTTTAGTGCTTAGATTCATATTAATTCATGATGGGCCCTCCCCGTTCACTAACCTGCACTCACCAGCGTGTGGCAAAATACATCCCACGAGGAACACGGCGTAGTGGGGAGTGGATGATTGAGAAAGGACCGTACAAAGGTGGAATTGTCACACCCACACTCGTGAAATCATCTGGTCGAGCGGCGGTGACGTGGCCCAGCGGTAGAACGTTCGTCGCTTGTTGCTGAGGCTCACGGGTTGGAATCCAGCGGCCGCCCTGGTTAATACTGGCGGGTGGATTCACCAAAACATAGTACGCGCACTCTGCTGTACTCACAGCAGACGTTGATGATCCCGTGGTGTCATTCGCAAGAGGAGGGCATTGTGTGCCGACGTCATGGTCCAAATGTTCACGGCTGAAAAATCACCTGCACATTACAGCAACATAGCACCCCACTGTAAAAGTACTTGGCAGAATTTTTCGATTAAAAACTTTCGTGACTGCAGGGATTCATCTTCTTGGTTCTTTCGGTAAAGTCACGTAGAAGGGAACCCTCCTGAAATAGGCCATGCAACTCAGTGATGCTTCCCTGGGTAACCAAACGTAGTAGTAGTAATAATAATAAGCCCACGTGAACTATTGCCTACACTTTGGCTATGCAAACGCACGTGGAAAATTGATCGTGTGAAAGTCACGAACAAACAGGATGCAACATACACGAATGAACCTTTCTAAGCAAGAAAACTCGATATGGACCAGTTTAGACTTTCTGAGTGCCATCAGCAGCAGTCATTAAACGCATGTTTAATGACTACTATATATGTAGTAGTAGCTGCTACATAAGTAGTAGTAGGCTAGTAGCTACTATATATAAAGTAGCTACTATATATGTAGCAGCTACTTTTAGCTACGGGCCCCGCACTTTCAAGGGCCCCGCGCTAAATGCTTTCAAGCCGTCAATTCCGGTTCAGTGATTCTGCACTTGCTCTATCACTGTAGTACTATACCGCCTTCAACTTGTGCGAACGACTGGGTGTTAAAGGTTAGCGATCTGCCATTATCTGGCTGTATAGCAAATGAAAAAATACAATTACTTTACTGTGCAAGTTAAAAGTTAGTGTTTTAATATTTATTTGTGTTTTTATTTAGGGCCCCTTCATAACATTTGCTACAAGCCCCTCGCGAGCTTCATCCGGCACTGCTGGGGGGGGTAGTGGTGGCGGTGCTGCTGCTGCGCTAACCGCTGCGCCACCGCTCCCGCCGCCCCCACGCGGCGAACGGCGACAGCAGGCGCGGGGGGGGGCACCCCCTGTACAGTGCGGGGGGTGGGGGCACCCCCTGTACAGTGCGGGGGGTGGGGGCACCCCCTGTACAGTGCGGGGGGTGGGGGCACCCCCTGTACAGTGCGGGGGTCGGGGCACCCCCTGTACAGTGCGGGGGTGGGGGCACCCCCTGTACAGTGCGGGGGGTGGGGGCACCCCCTGTACAGTGCGGGGGGTGGGGCACCCCCTTTACAGTGCGGGGGGTGGGGGCACCCCCTATACAGTGCGGGGGGTGGGGCACCCCCTTTACAGTGCGGGGGGACACACCCCCTGTACAGTGCGTGCTAACCGAGCGATCCCCAAATACACCAGCAGCAGTGACGCGCGGTGTGGGTAGAAGCAGCAGCAGCACGGGAAGGGCACGGACTCTTTGCGGCGGATCACTCGGCAGGTGAAGTTGAAGTTGTTGGTGGTGAAGTTGGTGATGGTGGTGGTGGTTGTGGTTGTTGTTTGAACGCGTGCGGTTCGCGGTTCTGTCCTTGCCGTGCTGCTTCTCGGCCATCGTCGGGGTAACGCTTCGTGAACGCCGCGTCTCCCCCCCCCCCCCAGCAGCAGGCCGCGTCCCCCCCCCCCAGCAGCAGCAGCAGCAGGCCGCGTCCCCCCCCCCCAGCAGCAGCAGGCCGCGTCCCCCCCCCCCCCAGCAGCAGCAGGCCGCGTCTCCCCCCCCCCCCAGCAGCAGCGGGCCGCGTCCCCCCCCCCCCCAGCAGCAGCAGGCCGCGTCTCCCCCCCCCCCCCCCCAGCAGCAGCAGGCCGCGTCTCCCCCCCCCCCCCAGCAGCAGGCCGCGTACCCCCCCCCCCCCAGCAGCAGCAGGCCGCGTCTCCCCCCCCCCCCCAGCAGCAGCAGGCCGCGTCTCCCCCCCCCCCCCCAGCAGCAGCAGGCCGCGTCCCCCCCCCCCCAGCAGCAGGCCGCGTCTCCCCCCCCCCAGCAGCAGCAGGCCGCGTCTCCCCCCCCCCCCCAGCAGCAGCAGGCCGCGTCTCCCCCCCCCCCCCAGCAGCAGCAGGCCGCGTCCCCCCCCCCCCAGCAGCAGGCCGCGTCTCCCCCCCCCCCCCCCAGCAGCAGCAGGCCGCGTCCCCCCCCCCCCCAGCAGCAGCAGGCCGCGTCCCCCCCCCCCCCCCAGCAGCAGCAGGCCGCGTACCCCCCCCCCCCCCCAGCAGCAGCAGGCCGCGTCTCCCCAGCGAAGCGCCTCGCTGCGCTGTGGAGCTTCTCTCTCTCTGCCGCCAACCTCGTTCCGCTCTCTTTGTCAACGCCTGCATCCCACGCGGCTGCGATCCAAATTGCCATAGAGGGGCAGGCGCTGTGATTCAGCGCTTCGTGCACCTAGCCTGGCACCGGCGCCTGGGTGACGTCGCCGCCACTTAGTGGTGAACGAAGGTTGTTACGTTATTGTATGTGGCAATGTATCGTGCGTATGCACGAGTGTATGCCGTACATGCGTGTGTACCGTGTGTGTGTGCCGTACATGCGTGTGTACCGTGTGTGTATGTACATGCGTGTGTACCGTGTGTGTGTATATAGTACATGCGTGTGTACCGTGTGTGTGTATATATAGTACATGCGTGTGTACCGTGTGTGTCTATATAGTACATGCGTATGTACCGTATGTGTGTGTGCCGTACACGCGTGTGTACCGTGTGTGTCTATATAGTACATGCGTGTGTACCGTAGATGTGTCTATATCGTACAATTACGTGTGTGTGTGTACATGCGTGTGTACCGTGTGTGTCTATATCGTACATGTGTGTGTGCCGTACATGCGTGTTCAGTTCTGCATGGCTCTAGCCTCTCTTTTTTTGGCTTTAGCATCACTCTACAGGAGGCAAATTACTGGGTTCATTGACATTGACAGGCTCCTCCTATACAGTAACTTTAAGTGCCCAGTTGGAGTCTCTAATTTAGGCTGAGCCTGCCATATCAGGCATTCAATCGGTCTCGGAGCCATAATTCTTTCGGAGACCAACATTTGAAAATGTTAGGAATGTTGATGTTTTATTCGGTGAATAAGCAAATTCTTGAGTGTGTGCCACATGGTCTTCAAGTGCTGCGTGACAATTTATATCGGGGGTAGCCCAGAGGTTTGGCAAACTGCTGAGCCATCACTGCTGAGACCCAGGGTTTGAATCTGGGTTTCCCAAGTGTATCGAGTTCTTCTTGGTCTAAGCTTGGTGCAAACAAAACCCCTTTTGTATTAAATTTGGCAAAATTAAAATGTTCAGTTCCATTGGCATGGGACAAACGCTCTTTCCAGGGCATATACGTGGTGTGACCCCGTGTGGATAGAGACTGGTTATCTTGACCTCAACTAGTTCCATGAAGTCTTCTGTCATGGCCATTCTCTGACACGAGGTGTTGCACTGCTTGCAGCAGACATCCTAATGTTGGTCGCTTTCGCGACCAAAATTATCCATAATAGACTTTTTTCGGGTTGATCGCGTAGATATAAATGTGTCTGTAAACCTGCCACAACCCGACAGACAATTGGTACCCAAACGGATAATTCTTCCTCTTGTGACCTGTTTCTGCAATCACATTTGGAATATAATTGGTAGAAGGATTTTATTTTGCAAAACTCACAAAACTTGCAGTACAGAAAATTGATTGAATCCATCTGTGTGGAGTTGAGTGTTATTCCCTTGCATGCTTGATGGGGTTTCTCCTGGGTTCTGCAGCTTCTTCCCACTCGTTAATGGGGTTGGTCAACCATCCCAGTGTTGCAGGACCCTATCCGAAGAAGAGCCTTCAGATTGAGTGAGGGTTTCCGGGATAAATAATATTGTTGCTATCATTTCCAGAAGATGTGACACTGAAACGTAACATTGGCATCGGCGCCTTTCTCCCCAATGTCTTTTCACCTCCACAGGACCCAGCCATGGCTCTGGTGGAAATTTCCAGCAACCGGATTTTTGAAGGATATCAGAAGGTGTTTGAACATGAGAGGTACGTCCTGTCTTTTCTTTTGTATGGCATTTGCAAAGCGGCCGGCAAAACATGATCACCGCGTGTTTACTCTGGTGATCCATTTGTTGCTTGGTGGCTAGCGTTTGGACCTCCTGTGTAAGGGTATAATGGGTAGTGAGGTATTTACCAATTGCCAGACGGTTACAGTGAACGTATAGCTTTGTCCCCATGGCACACCACCAGAAGGGGGAGCAGAGTCATTTAATTTTAGTAAACTTTTATTTTACCAGGAAAGGCCCACTGAGTTACATGGCTCTTTTTCAGAAGTGACCTGGCCAAAAATGATAGCTCAACGAAGTGGCTTATCACGTGGAAATTTATAGCAGCCAAATACTCTGAACATACGTCAAGTCTCCGGAGGACCCAGAGAAAAATCCACGTGACCACGGGGAGAGAGACCGCCAAAGCTCCAAATATACACATCAGGTCGGGATGGAACGCACGACCTCCTGCATACCAATCAAGGGAGTTAACATCTCACCACCATGGCAAGATGTTTGTACAAAAGGGCAGCAGACGGGGGCAAGGTGACGGGAAGAGAAGGCATGCTATTACAGAAACTCGGGGTCATCGGTGAGAGTACAAGCACGAACTATTGGGAATTTTTAATTCCAAAGTTGATTCATCTCAATCTGAAGTAAAGGGGCAGTTAGAATATTAATAAAGTGTATATTGCTGCAATCATCCTCATCAGCAACATAATTATTGTAATCATTATCAGCAGCAACAACATTAGGCACAGCAACATCAACAGCAGCAAGAGCTTCATCAGCAGCAACAGCATGATCATCATCGGTAACAGCAGCAACAGCACCGTGAATTTTCCATCCAACTGGAGGCCTCGCTAGAGCACTCAACCTCCCACCTGGATGAATATACAACTCAATATTGAAATACGGTCACAACGGGGGGCGAATTTATTCAAACGGAGTTTAATTATCGGACTGGCCCCACCCTCCCTTGGAACGTTGCAAGGACTCGCATTTAGAACGACGCTCAACCAGGAAGGCCGTTGTACCATTGGGACTGTGACGAATCGTAGTCGCCATCTGTTTCCATCTGTCCGGGTATAGAACGTTGCCCCCCCCACCCCACACACACACACGTGGGTTTTCTCTGGTCACTCCGGTTTCCTCCCTCGTGTATAAACACTAATCATTAATTGTCTGAAAAAACCTTAACCCTTTCCTGTTACGAGAGGTCGGCTAGTTGCAGGGTGGGTGTCCTGTTCAACGCCGAATCCCGGAACGCGCAAGCGGCTCAACGTTAATTTTATTTAGAGAGGCATGGCGCCGTTGTTTTTAAAGACATTGTACTCACCGCAGAGAACCGTGGCGACACGACTACCGCACTCTACGATAGCTGGTGCCAAAATGTGGCACGTGGCGACCTGAATATATACCGGTGAAGTTATTTTATTCTAGTTTTTCTTATGATTCTGTTCCGATGAACGTATGTGCATATACGTCGTCAGAAATGGGAAAGGGTTAAAACAAAAACCGAATGTAGCTGGACCCTCCTGCGAAAGAGTCTGAAGTCTCAGTGTGGCTCTGCTGGATATTATGGATGGATGAATAAATGAAGTTGTATTAATGCATCGTGCATCCCTCCCCTCCCCGAACTCCCCCGTCCACCGCGTGCCCCTTCGCCTACTCGCAGCTCGGAGCTCAAGTGCAAGATGCGCTTCGGCGTTTACCTGCCGCCCAAAGCGGAGACGCACAAGTGCCCAGTTCTCTACTGGCTATCAGGTGACCCAAGCATGGGCAGACTACCGCCACCGCCACTCAGCCCCGTTAATAATAATAATAACGATGACGGCAATCTAACACGGAGGAGGCTTGCGCGACCATAATAGAGATTTTTTGGGTTAGTTGGCTGTGTCGGGTGGTGGCGGGTTTTAAGGACACATTTATATATTTACGCGATCTAACCCAAAAAAACCTGTATTATGGATGATGACAATTGTTGTGTGATTTTGTATTTGCGGCCGCTCTCATAGCGCAGGCCTCTCGCGAAGGAACGCGCTGCGTTTCCCAGATGGCTATGGTTTGCCAGTAGGGAGCGGCGATGTTGCTACGCGTAATCCTGATTATGATGATGATTTGCGGAATAATTTTTCAGACTGAGCATATTTTGGACCATGATGCTGGCACACAACGTCGCGTGAGCCGGTTGTGTGTCTGTACGTATGTTGATCTTTTTTCGCACCGTACGTAGCCAACTGTGCTATTCGGAGGTGCGATTAGTTTGTGGGCCGGAGCAGAAATTGCTTAAGGTTGCATCACTTTCGTCATACCGATTTATTTATGCGGTGAATACAAGGGAACGACGTGATAACCCAATCGCATCAAGTGGTTATCACTTCTTAACTTTGGAGCTTTCGTGACTGCAGGAATTATTCTTTGGTTCTTTCGGTAAAGTCACGTATAAATTAAAAAATATATATAAATAATAACATACGACGTTTCGATTGCAACACAAGCAATCATCATCAGGTATAATGAAATAGCGACATAAAATCTAACCAGAAAAAAGTATAGACAGACATATAAGCAGACAGATATCACCAAGATACACACAGCGGGCAACACAGGTACAGAGAGGGGTGATCGTCTCTGTGGGGTGGTTATCACTTAATTCACTATAATTGGCCTCTAAAAGAAATTGGAGCCATTATGGCATTGCCAGGCGGCACCGACGAGTGAAGTATGAACTGTGTGTGTCTCGGCTCATGTTTGCTCCCTAACGTTGTGCCCACATCACCCCCCGCCCCCCGCCTGCCAGGCCTCACGTGCACCGAGCAGAACTTTGTGACGAAGGCCGGGGTGCAGCGCCTGGCGTCGGAGCACGGCCTCATCGTGGTGGCGCCCGACACGAGTCCTCGTGAGCAGCAACAACAGCAGCAGCGCGCCCGACATCCCGTCGCCATCATCACCAGCATCGACGCGAACGTCACTCGTCACCAGCATCCATGCTCTCTTCGATTATCACCAGTGTCATTACGAGCATCATTACCACCAGCGTCAATTGTGACATTGTTACCAACATCATAATTGTAATCATAACATCATCATAATATTTTATCACCATCAACTGCAAGACGCCACTGCCGTGCGGTGTTCACTCACTTTTGAACAGTTTCTATTCCATGAATTCCCTACGTCACGAAGCTCAAAGCAGAACAAGCAAAATGTCGTCGTACCTTTAACCCTCAGGTGAGGAGGAGGCGGAGGAGCTTTAGCGGTAAAAATTTGATCAATACATCGGTACGTATAAATAATAATATCGTTGTAAACGTTGACAACCTTGTCGAGTGTTGAGGGGTGACCAGGATTTTTGCATAAAACTACTTCTACTGCAACTACTTGGAATGTCCCGAAAGAAAACGTGGAACGCCAAACCCGTGTGTCGGCGCACTCAGGCGGCTGTAACGTGGAGGGGGAGGACGAGAGCTGGGACTTCGGTTCGGGCGCCGGCTTCTACGTGGACGCGACGCGCGACCCCTGGAGCCAGCACTACCGCATGTACTCCTACGTCACGCGCGAGGTGACGCGCTACGGGCGGAACGACGTGCCCAACTCGTCGCTTCTGCATCAATGCTTTTTTTTTAGTCCTAAGAGGTTTAGTTTTTTATTTTACACCTCCACAATTTTATTCCAAGTGGCGCTATCGGCGTCGTGTCACTTGACGAAGTGCCCATTCGGAAATCTCTCAGTGCAGCGCGGCACTCCCATGTTAGAGAATGGCCCGAGGAAGCGGATATCACAGAGCTACCATTCGAGAGCCTTAAAGCGACCTCTGCTCCACTCTTCCACACGGTCCAGGGAAGCGCTTTTCCTACCGCCTCTGGCCAGACACTCTTGCAAATGAGACTACCCTTGTCTCTTGAGTTTGCACCTCACTAAACATTACAAACTAATGTTCATTGCATGACAGTAAAACTGATCAAGTGCAGAACATAAATTGACATATCTAAAGTATTTTTTCAGTGCTGTCATTCGTGACCGTGCTGACACCATCAACTTGCTACACTTGAGAACCCAACTTTAATCGCAGGCGGCTGAAACCTGGGTTCGAACTCTGGAAATCAGCGTTGCCAGCTCGGTCACTTCCATAAGATGATTTTGATTGCGATGCTTTACTATGGAGAGAGATGTCTTCTGGAAGATCATTGTTGTCAACTAGATTTTATTTTACCAGGTAAGGCCCACTGACCTACGTAGCTCTTTTTCAGAAGCGACTTGGCCACAAATGATAGCTCAACGAAGTGGCTTATCATGTGGAAATTTATAGTGGTAGCCCAATACTCTAAATGCACGTTAATTCTAAATATAGAGGGGAAAACCGCAGGACCCGGAGAAAAATGCACACAATTAAAACATGTCTACCAGAAAATCCAATTTTATATTCCATATCATAAATACGCACCCACAACATTTGCTTTAAGATGCAGCGAAAATAAGTGCCATTTTATAATCCAGATGATGCAGTATACTGGATTTGGGGTGCCGGGTGCGGAAACATCGAAGTGCAATGCAGAACGGGTGAAGCCTTGAGTGTTGACGTGCGGACCTCCACAGCTGCCCAAGCTGGTGAAGGAATCGTTCAGCGCGGACGCCGAGAAGCAGTCGATCTTCGGGCACTCGATGGGGGGGCACGGCGCGCTGGTCTGCGCGCTGAGGAACCCCGGCATGTACAGGGTGAGGAGCCGCCGTGGAGTGGACGGGGAGTACGGGAGGGGAACAAAGCACGGAGCATTGTATGATCCGGAGAATATGGGCAGCGTAACCCGATTCTCAGGGCCGTACTCCCAAGTTGCGGCTTGGCTCTGCCTCGGCCTCTACTCACGTAAACCCCGCTCTGACTTGAACCGCCTCGGTCGCTTTCAAAGATGCGCAGAGTGAACGGCTCAGCTGTAGCTCACCTCAGGCTCAGCTCATGGAAATTCTGAGCACATGGCTGGGACCATTGCTCAGAGTCAACTCGGGTTCAGCACGGATTTGAGCCGGATCACTTGAGCCAAGCCTGAGCCTTGCCTAAGAGTACCGGCCTAAGCATCCGAATTGCTGGACTGACGATCTCACCACTCCCTCCCTGCCTCTCTCCCTCTTTCCGCCCCCCCCCCATCACCCGCCCGCACCCAGTCCGTGTCGGCGTTCGCGCCGATTTGCAACCCAGTGGAGTGTCCGTGGGGCCAGAAGGCCTTCGCGGGCTACCTTGGCGAAGACCGCGAGGCCTGGAAGGTGCGTCATCGCGTCGTGGGTCACTGAAAGTAATTCTCCACCGACCGCGCCCGATCTCATTGCGCCTCGGAAGCAAAGCTGCCCGCGAATTCTTGACCTGGTTGCTGGTAGACTGAAATGGGTGGCACGTGGCCAGCAGTTGCCACAGCTTTAGAAATAACGAAAGGAATCCTGGATGCGGTGTGTCGGGCGCAGAAATGTTTACCAGTTTGCCAATCCACTGAAGTAGGTGGGACGTGACTAGTGGTAGCCACAGGCGTCGCGAGAGGTGGTGGACTGGATGCGGTGTGTCCGGCGCGGACGTATTTTCCGGGTCGCCATCACGGGGCATGGAATTAAATGAACCGCTTCGTCTTGTTCGCACAGGCGTACGATGCCACGTTGCTGGTGTCCGGCTACTCGGGTCCACCACTCGACATCCTCGTTGACCAGGGCAAGGACGACCAGTTCCTCTCGGCCGGGCAGCTGCTGCCCGACAACTTCCTGGCCGCGTGCACGCAGGCCAAGGTTCCGGCCGTCTTCAGGCTACAGGAGGTGCGGAGTCACCTGTGTGTGTGCGCGTGTGTGCGCGTGCGTGTGTACGCGTGCGTGTGTAGTGCGTGTATGTGTGTGTGCGTGTATGTGTGGGAGTGTGTGTGTGCGTGTATGTGTGTGCGTGTGTGTGTGAGTGTGTGTGCGTGCGTGTGCGCGTGTGTGTGCGTGTGTGCGTGCGTGTGTGTGTGCGTGCGTGTGTGTGTGCGTGCGTGTGTGTGTGCGTGTATGTGTGGGAGTGTATGTGTGTGCGTGTGTGTGTGAGTGAGTGTATGTGTGTGCGTGTGTGTGTGCGTGCGTGCGTGTGTGCGTGTGTGCGCGTGTGTGCGTGTGCGTGCGTGTGTGCGTGCGTGCGTGCGTGTGTGTGTGTGCGTGCCGCGAGGTAAACTACACCAAACTTTTTTTATTTTACTGAGCTACATAGATTTTTTTCCAGAAGCGACCTATCCACAATTGATTGACCTATGAAGTGACTTGGCATCACGTGGAAATCTATAGCAGCCAAATACTCTTAAACGCGCATTTTAACATGGGCCTGGTTCTCTTGACACCGTTTTGTGGACTCCTCCGGTGTGCACAGGGCTACGACCACAGCTACTACTTCATTGCCACCTTCATGGACGACCACGTGCTGCACCACGCCAAGTACCTCAACGCGTGATGGCGACACGGGGAGCCCGCAGCCCGCCGCGAGGCCCGGTGTCGCTCACCACAGCCTGGCGACGATCCTGGGTTCGAGTCCAGGCTCTCAGCTGCCGGTGATTTAAAATCGGTTCCCGAGTTGTGTCGCAACCCTGTTTGCCAAAGAAAAGGGGCGCCGCGATGGCGACGTGTTGTCTACGTACGTTGAACTTCTTTGGCACCGCACGTAGCCAACCACGCTAATCGGAGGTGCGGGGGAAGGACAGCAAACTCAACACAAGAAGCATTTGAACAAAAAATGAGTTTTCAATACAGATTAAAAGTTCATTATAAATGAGGAGGGAAAAGCCAGAGGACCCAAATAAAAATCCACGCGATCACAGGGAGAACATGCAAACTTAAAATATACAACAGGCATCAGGATTGGGATCGAACCCACGACCTCTTGTACACCAGGAGAGGTAGTTAACATATTGCCACCATCGCAGCAGCAGCAGCTCTGGTTTTGTGGAGCACTTTCACGTGGCCAGGTTGGATCTTGACCTGGAAACTTGGGTGTGGAGCCGGTTCAGAGTATTCCACGTGTACGTGACATCATCATCATCTGAAAGGAGATCCGCTGCTCGAGGTGACACGGGTGGCTAAGCCACCCAGCCGATTCCACGACATTGTGCGTGTGACACAATTGGCGAGAGACAATTCGTGCCATTAACGAGCAGTCAGATTATTTCGCATTGAGGTTGGCAGAGCGAGCAGAACTATAAAAGTGGAACTAAATAATAATAATAAAATAATTTTGGAATTGTCCATCTTCCAGGATGTGTGGTCAGCGTGGAAGAGTAGGCCAAAAATACCCTCCACAGGGGCTCTCTAGCACTCTCTCGAGCGGAGGGCCTCCTGCCAACATTGCCGTTCGCAACGCAGTCGCAGGGCTGCACCTTTACCTTCAATTGAATCTCCAACCCCGTGACCGCAAACGGTGACCATTCATCAAGCCGCTTGGGGGGGTGTGTCTGTGTGTGCGCGCGTATCTGTGTGTGTGCGACACATGCCCTATGCCCTCATGCCCCCCCCCCCCCCCACTTGTGCTCATAATCTGCTTAAATAAATTTGTAATTGCAAACTCTGGAGACTCAAAGCTCAACTGGGTAATGATTGACGCGCGGTTTAAACATTACCCCATGCTGCACCGCTGTCTTTTGTGCCTTGCCCGTAAAGGTCCTCACACGGCCCCACGCACAGCGCCTCGTATTTCCTGGCTTTAAAATCACTCGGGCATCGCGCACTCCTGGCTCTCCCGTGCGGTGGCAGCTGCGCGTGAAACCCACTCGCTCCGGCGATCGGTCGCTACGACCGCGCTCGGAGTGGGGCGACACAGGGGTCGTAGCCCGACAGCCTGCGTCCGTCCTCGGCGAGTCACCCAAAGGTTTGCAATGGCTCGGGTTCGTTGGACTTCCACGTCGTTCCTGGAATGAGGCGTTGTGCTCGTGGCCGCAGAGCGGACTTTGCTCGTTTCCTATCGAGCGTGAGTGCCGCGCGTTTACAAGAAGAGTAGAAAACAACTTTGTATTTAACCAGGTAAAGCCCACTGAGCTATGAATAGCTCCTTTTCAGAAGCGACCTGGCCACAAACAATAGCTTATGGAAATGTATAGAAGCCAAATACTACTAAGCGCGTGTTTCTAAATGTAAAGGGAAAACCCGGAGGACCCGACGAAAAATCCACGCTACCACGGGGAGAACATGCAAGCTGCAAATATACAACAGGCGTCAGGGTCGGGATCGAACGCACGACCTTTTGTATACCAGGCGAAGTAGTTAACATGTCGCAACCTCCAAGAGCTGTACTGACAGCAACGTCCCACCATCTGTTTTTACACAGAGGCTCACTTCGCCACAGACTCGCACACAGAGGCCTAGAGATATACTCACGTGGAGACCAACACAACAACTCCGATTGGCACGGTTGGCTACATACGGTGCGAAATAAATTCAATATACAACACATAGGAAGCTATTAACCCATAAAGTTTGTCATAGGCTCGGAGACATTCCCAAAGACTCACGTGGAGACCACAGATCTGCCTCGAGTATCCCACCATCGGCTCCGATGTCTTCTCTCTCCCCCTTAGTCGCTGGACGTAATGGAGACCACCCCGGTGCCTGTGCACACGCAGGGACATGGCGTGTCCCACTCGTGCCTACGAAACATGGGCACGCCGCTGTGGGGGTTTCGAAGGTTTAATTTTGCTAAACGATTCTGTGGAACGGGCACGTGGTGGCTGCGTACGCGATGACATCGACTCCGTGTTCCACATTTCATTCGCTTCATCGTTTTTGAATGATTGCTGGATTGTGGTCAAAGATTGAACAGAGAGCTGTTGATGGTAATTATTATTTTTGCAAACGTCACTTTCAGTCCGTTCCAAATGAGATGTTTTCTAGTCCATCAATGTAATGGATCCTACAGACCCAAAATCCCAAAAATATAACGTGCAGCTCTCGGCCAATCCACTGCTGGATGAAGCCCCCCCCCCCCCCCCCCGCCGTGTTGATCATAAGGGTTGTTTGACCATACTTCACCAAATCGGTCAGTGTTGCTTGGTGAATGCGGGGGTGGCAGGACCGGGTTCGGATATCGCTCCCCACTGATGTTAGCTGTCGTGGTCGGGGCGCCACGGTGGCTAGGAGATGTTAACTACCTCGCCTGGTATACAGGAGGTTGTGGGTTCGATGCCGAACCCTGACGCCTGCTGCTGTATATTTGGAGTTTGCGGTGTCTCTCCCCCCGTGGTTGCGTGGATTTTTCTCCGGGTCCTCCGGTTTTTCCATCCACATTTAGAATTGACATCACGCGTTTAGAGTATTTGGCTGCGATACATTTCCACGTGATAATCCACTTCATTACCTGGTCAAATAAAAGTGTTGTACAATATTGCATATCGCAGTATGCTAACCACTAGCCCACACTGTGTTGAGCGGAGACCCCCACACTGTGGGCCCTGTCCAGCCTCCCGTGCTGCCACCGCACGGAGACCACTGCACTTTGGCCGAAGCATTGCTACACCACTGCCGTGAGCTGCAGTGTGTGTCTGTGTGTGTCTGTCTGTCTGTGTGTGTCTGTCTGTCTGTGTGTCTGCCTGTGTGCCTGTCTGTGTGTGTGTCTGTGTGTGTCTGTCTGTATGTCTGCCTGTGTGTGTTTGTGTGTGTCTGTGTGTGTGTATGTGTGTGTGTGTGTCTGTCTGTGTGTGTCTGTGTGTGTCTGTCTGTGTGTGTGTGGGGAGTGGTAGTGGAGCGGTTAGCACACTGTGCTACACACCCGGCCACCCAAGTTCGATTCCCGCTCACGGCCAATACCGGTGACGATTATCTGAACCGGTTCTGGGCCTCCCCTAGGTCGACTCGGTCTAAAATGAGTACCTGGTGCGGTGTGTAAACATCGCCACGAGGGAGACAAAGGCGGCCGGGCGTGGTGTTGGCCACCCACCCCCTCGTGTGCCGTGCCGGCCTTCATAGGTACTCGCTAACAGCACTTGCCCCAAGTCTGTTTAGGCTACACGGGGGATCTTTGTGTTTGTACAAGAGGGGTGGTGGAAGGGCTTTGGATTCACGGTCTGCAACCCCCCCCCCCCCCCCGTCTTGTTTACACGGCGCACCCCAAATCAACATCGGACAGTCCACCACTGTTGGTATAAACGCGCTCCCAGTTTGCTGATGAGACGCTGAAACATCGGAATTGGCCCACAGTTTGCTTTTATTGAACCAATTCTGCTGATGGACGCACTCCCAGAAGGCCGTGTCGCTGACGGGATGTGTAAAACAAAATCCGAGTTTAGTTTCGTGCAGAAACACGTGGTAACGGGGCGCTGTGTGTTCGGTTATTTAGGGTTTCAACACGGCCACTCACTGACTGTCCCCTGACTCAGACATTGCCAAGTAAATATTTATCACTGCATAAAAAATTATAGATGTATCTTACACAACCGCAAATGCCACGCAGAGTTCTGGAGTACATTTTATGAGCAGCATTGGTTCAGTTTAACACGCAGCAGGCTTTCGCGACCAATATCATCCATAATGTAGTTGTTTTGAGTTAGATCGTGTGTGTCGTTAAACCCGCCACCACCCGACACGGCCAACTTGTAAGGGTTGTCACGTAAACAGAACGTGCCAATTCGTCACTAGTACAGCACTAGTGTATAGTGTAGTGTATAATGTAATGTATAGTGCAGTGTATAGTGTAGTGTATAGTGTAGTGTATAGTGTAGTGTACTAGTATAGCACACCGGTTGTGTGTTGGAGAGCCAAGCCACAACATTTACAATCTGAGTACGACGTTTCGCCAGTAATCACAACTAGCTTCATCAGGCGACAGCCAGATTTGTGGAGAAATCCTCCTGGTGAAATAAAAGCAAACTGTAGAACGGATTTGACACTCGTCAGCACAGTCAGACTTGCTTGAACCACCGTTGGTGACCCGCCTGACCTCCCAAGGCAAGGACCTTGACGCTGTTCACTTTGGCAGGAGTGCGATTCTGCGACGTTGGGAGGTTTTCGGCCAGTTCCAATGAGGGTTTGGGTTTGCGTGGGAGCAAACCGGAGCACGCGGAGATAACCCAAACACCGTACACGAGTGACAGCCAAGTGTCTGCACGGATGGGTTGACGAACCCACTTGCCGTAGCTGCCCACCGGTGGCCACCTCACTGCCCTTGTGGGTCTGGGAGGGCAGCAGAGAACCCGGGGGGGGGGGAGTCCAGCACCGCGCTGTATACGAGGGGGTGACACCCGGCACGGCCGTCAACTCGGAGCCCTGCGCCTACAACACCTGGCAAGCCGCGGTGGCCATGAATTCAATAGCAATGTCGCCTTGTCATTTGCCGCCGCACAGGATTGGCTCTCAGCCTCGTCGAGGATCACTCGGGCACGAGGAGCGGGAAGGCAGCCACGCGGTGAGCCGGTGGAAACAATTTCCCAAGCTCTGCGGTCCTCTACACGTGAAGGTGTTTTAGGCCGCACCTCCGATGAGGACGGTTGGCCACGTACAGCGCGAAAGAAGTTCAACACACATACATACCGATGAGTGTTTACACGTGGCAGGAGCGCGTGGAGAAACCCAACGCGGTGAGGGGGAAACACTCGATCCCGTTCAGACGGAACGGGTGGAATTCACGTTCACTGTCTCCTCGACGCCCACGGCGAGTGAGCGAGTCACAACGTCGCGTTTGTGCGCACGCGACCCACCAACCCTCGCTCCACACTGCTGGATGTACAGGCCGGGTGCGTCGATGGCGAAGCCACCACCCGCCTAAAACGAGAAATGGCCGGGTCTCTCAGCGCTTGCCGAGGTAAGATTCCAAGATCCGTGGCGCAACGCGCGAGTGAGTTTGTCTCCGTGACCTCCGCGTTCACACCGCGCTTGCAGCTCCCTCACCATAAGCACCACGTGTGGTTACTCCAGTACCCGATTCCTTGCAAAGGTGTGTCCACTTGGTGTTCTAAAAAACAAACACCTCCTTCATAATCATAATCAACGTGTTTGGGTTAGATCGCGTTATTTATAACTGTGTCGTAACCCTCCACCACCCGACACGGCCAATCAGCAAAAAAGTGTCACGTTGACAAAAGACAAATAGTTCACTGCTTTAGCCCACCGGTGTGTTGAAGCGTGAAACCACAACATTTACAATTTTTGAGTAGTACGACGTTTCGCTGGTAATTGCATCCAGCATCATCGGGCAATTTTAGTGCCAGAAAGGGTAAAATCTCTTCTTGTTATTCATACTTTGAGACTGGCATACAAGATATCCCGTGATGTAGCTGCTCACCCCGAGCTCCACGTGCTCTGTTGCGTGTGGCATTGCCCTTGCGCTGGTCGCCTTGGGGCGGTGTTCTCTGGCCTGACACTGGGGGTGAGACCAGGCCACGCAGAAGGCTGCTGATGTGTCTGGTGGAGGCCATTCAAAGACAATCCATGCATGATCAGCAGATCAGGTCACGTGTTGTTTGCCTGTTCACCACAACTACCATGCGTGGTTGGGGGGCGTCCATAAATGACGTCACGCGATTT